GAAGTCATCAGTGACGTCACTAATGACGTCATCGGTACCCGCATCGTCATCGTCAATGACGACGTCATCAGCGACCTCAGTGATGACATCATCGGCATTGGGAGTCACGTGACCCCCAAGGTCACGTGACCCCCCCCTGGTTGATTAGTTTAACCCCCCCCCAGTGCCCTTCCCTCCTCCTCCTCAAGAGCTGCGCTCTAATTCGGCGTTACAGGGAGTTGTAAGCAGCTTTCACTTTTTTCTTTCGCATTTAGAGCCTGCCTTTGCACATCTGTCGAGTTCTTCGTACGAGGCTTTGCGCTCAGATGAGCGTCGGTTATTCGGCCTGTCGTCTCTCACAAAATCTCACAAAATCTTGTTTTTGAAGCTCGCAGACGAACTTTCTCCTTTGGGACAAAAGTAATTTTAAAAAAAATAATGAGTAATTTTCTCGAAACTACTGCCTGAAAGTAATTCATTACATTACTAGATTACGAACATAAAGAGGTAATTCATTACATCGCAAATTACCACAAAAATAATGTAATTACTCTAATTTCATCACAGTAATTCCACTACTGCCATCTCTGATTTAGTGGCTCTACTCAAGCCTTGCTAAGGCGTGTCCACGGTTGCCAGTCTGCTGTCTTAAAAATTCGTTTTTTTTTTGTGTGTTTTTTTTACTTACGGTGGACACTCACACTTTTGAAGCGTGGTTGCTTTCAAATGTGATTTTCCAGCGTTTTGTTTTGCCTTCCAAGGGAAGATTTCTTGAACTCGTAACGCAACGAAAATTGCAAAATGTCAAACAACGTCAACCCTCCGAAACAAACAATACCTTGACTTTTACAAAAGCAAACAACCTAACATTAAGCAATCTTCCGTATCCTTCAAGTGTCAGTGATCTATACACGACCTCCCCCATGCCTAAGGCCACGTCAGAGCCGTTTATACTGAGAACGTTTGGCCAAGGGGCGGAGCTTAATTGTTGCCCGCTAGAACCAGCAGATATCGCGATAACAGAAAAATGCGTTAGTTCTTTCTTTTCCTTATTCCTGAGACCTCGCAAAGAATTCTTACGAGTCAGAGCCACAAAAAACGGAGAGGCCGTGAACTGGACGACATTGTGCTGACGGTGAGCTGTGAAACGGAGTTGCGACAACTTCTCGACATATGCGCTGATGAGGCTGCCGTGCTTGTCTCAAGTACAACACATCCAAGTCCGACGTGATACAATTCGCCGGTGCTGAGAAAGAAAAACTCGATAGTCTGATATCGGCCCTTGACGTATTACTGGTACTGAACAAGCATAAGTATTGAGGTACTGAGTTGTCCAAAGAGGCAGACTATCTGAAAGATCATTACGTCCACCTACGTCAATCCGCCACACGGGGAGCTAACATTTTCTGTAAGCGCAGCCTATGGAGCTGTAATAAATTCATAGTGAGCCGTGAAATGTGGAAGGCGCTGGTGGTGCCAGGTTTGACATTCGCCAACGCAGTGGTGGGTGAACCAAGTGACGTAAGAACCACCTTGGGGCGCAGACAACGAGAAGTGGGACGTCAAGCGCTGTTGTGCCATAGCACGGTGGCGAGTGAGGCAGTCCAGGGGGACCTGGGCTGGTCGTCTTTCGAAGCGAGGGAGGCGACAAGCAAGGTTTCCTAAGACGGGCGGATTCGAAAGTGTAACCAGAAATGGAACTTGTCCTGTGCTTTACGCGGGTAAAGGCTTTATTGTGAGCACCGTTGTTGGCGAGAGCAAAAACGCAATGCGTTAAAAATGCACGCAAAGTCGGATACCTGGTTCATGCACCGTGCTATTTCTGCCATAGCATGGCGGCAAATGAGGCAGTGCAGGGTGACCTGGGCTGGTCGTCTTTCGAAGCGAGGGAGGCGACAAGCAAGGTTTCCTAAAACGGGAGGATTTGACTCATGGACCGGTGCCGCTGGTCGAAGAGGCTGTTCCTATACACACTAATGACTATCTGCAGAACCGTTGGCCAAAGCGCCTTTACCGGCTTGAGAAAGAGGTCGGCTTCTTCACAGAACCGGTGGAGGCGACCGCAGAAAAAGAATGGGAGTGTGTGGTGCTCAAGAGGGTTCGCGAACAGGAGAATGTGCAATAGCTGGAGGCTGCCCGGATAAAGTTAACCCTGACAATGTATGCGGAATTAAAACAGCAAATCATGGCGGAGACGCGGCTGTACGACAACAGCTTGGGTAGCCGACTGTTGTTCGAGGATCCTGCGGGTGCCCTGCGCATACTGGTGTACAAACAGCGCTTCGACAATAATGTGCAGTCGACTGTGTGCCGAGTATGCGAGGTTGAGAGCGAAACAGCGGAGCACATCATACGCCATTGTGGCGGAATCCGACCATCTGCCACTTCTCCCGCCGAAGAGGCGAACCGACTACACGAATGTGTCCCGCCTCTGGCGACAGCGCTGGGCTTCTCGACAACAAGCGAGAAATCCAATAATACTGAGGCCTTTTGGCAAACCATCGAGCAGACGAAAAGACCACTGGAGGATTGGTGGCATCAAACACAACACAGGTGGCGCTGAAATCACCCCCAGGCTTGGGCACGATTAATCGAGCCCGCCCGTTATAAAATAAGTAGTCGCAGTATCATCATCATCAACTGTATATGCTTCGCATGCGTATCGGAGTACCGCAATGGTGCTTCCATGGCGGCCATCTTGGATCCAAGGCTGCACTGCGGGAAGCGACCGTTGCTTCTGCAAGAGTTCCGGATGCGCGGGCTACGCGATCATCCTCCGTGTCGTCTTCTTCCCAGAATTTGAAAACATGTTTTCAAACATCGCTCGCGTTATAAAACAACGCGATTATAATGCATCCAATGATTACAGATAATGTTGAATGGCCAAGGAACTTTCCAGTTTGTTCTATTTTAGGACTAGGATATCTATTTCGCAAACGCAAAGCGAGAAACATGATCCGCCCTAAACTCGGAGCCTGCAAGGTCGCTTTCCCGCACAAATAACGTATCCAGCTCGGTACAGGTGACCCCGTCTCCACCAACACGGAGTTGGCGGCGAAAGGAAAAGGGGCACGATACTCTGTCTCTCCAAGCAGAGCCCATACAGTTACTCTAAGAGCAGCTAGAGCAACTGTATAGGTTCTGCAGAAGTGTAGTAAGTTGAACGAGTTGGTATGATGACATGATGAACAGAACAGCGCACACAAAGACAAGGACAGATATGTGTCCTGCATGTTCCTTTTCTCTGTCCTTGTCTTTGTGTGCGCTGTTCTGTTCATCATGTATAGGTTCTGCGTGCAGAGCCAGAGTACTGACCAAAGGAAGGACACAATTTTTCGGCAAGCCATTCCGCCAGGCGAGATACTTGTCATCTCTGCTAGAACCCTCCATAACCGCGGATTACCCGTGGATAATCCGCGAATATCCGCCATCAATTGGTGGATGCGGATAAAAATGAATCATATTTGACGGATTGCGGATCGGATGCTAGGGGCTGCGGATGAGTATCGGATGCAGATATCCGCAAGTCCGGATATACATCATTGCTGAGGCGGCCCACACGTAGAGTGAGGCGGTTTACAAAGTGTAGAGGGAATAAATAAGTGATACTCTGAAGTACGCCACCGAATGTTTCACGGGAGAAAATTACTGTCTCAGAGGAAAGCAGCCAATCGAGGAGAAAATTTTTCTTTGTGCTTCGAAAGACCTGATTCTCGCCGAAGACCGCCTTATACCATTTTATCTCAGCAAAAATGCTTTCCATAGAAAATGTATAAAACATGCAGGGGCATCCATACTTCTCGGCAGTTGGCTAGTTGATGATGAATATGTGGTTTGAGGTTGTGTTTAAAATTGAAACCAATAGGAGGTTTTGTCATTATTGAATATTGCGATATTTTCCCAGTGATGTATACTACTCGGGCTTTACCAAGTATTTATACGCGTACTTTGCTGCAGTGAGTAATTGCCTTTCAGGCACGTAGCCAGGGGGGGGGGGCATGGTTCCCGCCCCCCCCCCCCCCAAAATCTTCCATTTTGCTGGGACTTCCTCTCCACCCTCCCCCTCATACAGCATTTTGTCATGGGCGGCCCCCCCCCCCCCCTCCCCGAAACGAAATCCTGGCTACGTGCCTGTTGCCTTTCCTGTCCTACTTTTTGTATTGTTTGATCTAAATTATATGGTATAATGGTATTAGTCTGTCCTTCATTATTTTCATGTTTAGAAAGTACGTCTGCTTAAAGTTTTTCTCACAAAAAAAAAAAAAAAAATAGATGAACATGTTCTTCCGTTTGAGCGCCCCTTCTGGGTAGAATGTCGCAAACTCCCCTCGGTGAAAAGTCGTTCAAAATCAGTATACTAGAAGTGCACTGAAGTATACTAAAAGTATACTTTCAGTGTGGTCTTTGTACTCAATGTGTACTTCAAGTGTACTTCAAGTATACTTTCAGTAAAGATGATGGTGGATTGAAAGTATACTCGTCCATGCGAAACTAGTCCATGTAGTAGAATCGTAGTGCACTACGATTGTCACTCTAGTGGGGCGCGGCCATAAGACTTCAGCAGAAGCTCTGCCTGCAGCATGCACTCGTCACCTTCCGCAGGGCTTGGGCTGCGCGTGCGACGAAGTGTTATCAAAGGCAGAAAGCTCGTGTGGGCGGGAGGCATCTACTGAAATCTTTACCTGCCCCCCCCCCTCCCCCCCCCCCCCCTCTACGAGTTTGCATCGGATGGCCTTCATTTCCGCATTTGTGACCTTAGAAATATTTTCAATGAACAAGCATGCAGGAAGTGAAAACTCTCCAGTCCTCCTACGTAACGCATATTTTAAAGACAGCTGGTCATCGTCATCAACGCAAAACTGCAGAGCATGTGTTCTACACGCTCTCCGCAACCTTTACTAAGCGTGATGAATGTAACAAACAATTGAACGTAAAGAATCCGTTAGAATATTATAGCGCAGCGATAAATTCAGCTGGGCATTGTGAACTGCCTCCAGAACGTTGCAGAGCTTGTTGACGCCATGCGGCTGGGTATTCTCACTGCAACTTTGTTCATAGTGGTGAGTACATTACGCACATTATCAGCGTGGATGTCTGTCCCACGGATTAGATTGTCTGCTTTAACTATTATAGAATTGCATGATGGGAGGTCATCTGCCGCAGTCCCGATATACGTTTAACCAGAAAAATACTGCCCTGGTCTATGAAAAAGGTCCCTTACCGCTACAATATAATAATTCATTGCTTACTTTTTTCTTTTCAGGGAGTGGCTTCAAAAGGTGAGTTTCCTTGTCGGAGGTTGTCTGATTTATTTATTTATTTATTCGCATATTTACATCGTCCAGAGGGCCTTATTTTAAGGGGGTTAGATAAGTAAATACCGATTATACAAAAATATAAAAAATACACTAAAAAAATAAAACCAAACGGTTTATAAAAAGTGCATCTAACTCTTATCTTGAATAACTGTGAGAAAAATATGGCTGGATTGAGAAGTTCACAGTGAAAACAATTCTAATCGCGAATGGTAAAAAAAAGTGGGAAAACATAAATAGGACAGTTCAACTTTCGCGCCTTTGTTTCATGATAATTCCGCTGCAAAATAAAAATATGGTTTCCTCATATGTTTTATCGATAGCGGTTTGATTGTTATACACTCTAAAAAAGTCCGTGCGTCTACTTTCCCGCACAACACAGGGAGAGCCAATCACCGCGAGTTACGGAGGCAGCTCAGCGAATGACGATACCGAAACATGTTTAGGCCAAAAAACGCAGTCTGAGTTGTGACATTAAGCAATGCAAGCGTGACGTTTTGCATTGCTTAATGTCACAACTCAGCCTGCGTTTTTTGGTCTAAACATATGTTTCGGCATCGTCATTCGCTGGGCTTCTTCCGTAAGTTGCGGTGATTGGCTCTCCGAGTGTTGGGTGCGGGAAAGCAGACGCACGGGCTTTTTTTTGGAGTGTAGCATAAAATATTTTCGATGCAGGTATTTTCCCCGTCGAGAAAAAAGTCCATCCGACATGATTCCTAATTTGTGTATTGCTAGAGCTGAAATTGTGATTGTCACCAACAAAACGAGAAGTCCGGTTTTAGATACGTTTCAACTTGTAGAATGCATTCTGAATATGCGAATCATATGTTGCACATAGGGATGAGCAGTATTTCAAATACAAGTATTTGAAATACGTATTTCAAATACTTTGTGTATTTTGCATTTATATTTAATTACAAATTGGGTAATGTATTTGACGTGTGCATTTAAATACTAAAACGTGGGTATTTCAAATACAATCGTAATTAAATACAATTTTGTGGGCGAAAATACATCCCTCAAATTTATTGTCACGACTCATTTTGCTCATACTAAGACGTGTCCAAACTGCTCTTTCTTCATCTCAACGCCAACGGCAACAACAAGCCAAGAAACTTTTCATCTCTTCATACACCAGTCCTGCGGCAGTTCGCGTCTCGCTCACCGCGGGCGACCGGGCACGCCGGGCGCCTGCTGCACTTGCCTCTATCGCGTTAAATAAATGTTATTGCCAAAGTTACAATTCTTGTTTTTATGCATGTGGTTGTAAGATATAGTCTCCATCCTTTATTCGGCCATATGGGGCTTTTTTTCTTTTTCTCCTCCGGCTTTATTTTAAAGGAACTGTCCAGAGCAGGAAGAAAACTACGTTCTGCACCGAATGCAGTGTGTCTCAGTCAAGCACAAGCGTTTAGTGACTTTGTGATTACGGTGCTGGTCCAGGGCAAGAATAGAGACGAAATCGACGTTTACAGGCAGACTGGCTAAATAAGTGCCTGTGACAACTTGTGATGCTTTCCAGCCTGATTTCAATTCATAATTTGGCCTGGAACATTCTAAATGCGCGAGTTGTCCAGATTTTCGTAAGTGGTGCGAGTTTCAAGAATAAAAAATTCTCTAGCTAGTGCTGCGCGTCTTGGTCGTCTCGGTTCTTTTGATCTATACCAAAATGTAATCGACAAAAAAACCTGCTTGAAGCTCTGTACTCTTTTCACCTATTACGTCCAAGCTGATTACATTTTTTGTGATTATATCTCTATTACGTTACTAGAGCCTCGCACACTAACTCCCGAGTGTGCGATGCAAAATTAAAATGAGATACCCAGAAACCCGTTGCAGGTGTTCTGAAGTCGCTGACACAAATTTTGAGGAATATATTTGGAAAAGTATTTGGAAGATACCAAATACATTTGGTTGTATTTGTATCTTGTACTTAAATGCTTTTTTGGAAATGTAATTAGATTTGTAATTAAATACATTTTTGACGAAGTATTTTGTGTTCGTATTTCGATACATGTTTGCATGTATTTTACCCATCCCTGGTTGCGCACGCATATTGGCCTCGAATTATGGCAAGGCCAATAATGTGAGGCCTCGCAAAATTGGCCTCGCATTACTTTGAACCAAATTTCGTACAGCTTTCTTAGTTAAATAGTTGTATGTGTTTGTTCCACATACGATTACCCGCGTAATATACACCTAAGTGCTTATAATAATCAACATGAACATGCAAGTGACCTTATGAATAGTAAGCTCACAAAAGAAGTTTATGTTTACTGAAAAACAAATAAAACAACATTTTTAAAACTCATCTTTCATCTTATCACACTTCAATAATACGTACAAAGTCGAGGTTACGCTGCAGAGAATCAACATTAGAAACACCTTGGACGCTTTTATAAATTACATTATCATCCGCGTAAAGTTTTAGACTTAATAATATTGCAGGTGTTATGTCATCAATGTGTACCAGAAAGAAACCTACAAAAACCTGCAAGTCGTTTTAAAGCCATACATGTGAAAAGTAAGAAAGAGGCTCCGCCTCTTACCGCATTTTCACCGCCATTGTAAATAGTTGCCTTATATCCCCTTTCTTCGTTCTAATATTAACATTATTATGGTATAAAAAAAATTAAACGACAGCAATGAACTTTTCAGCATTTTTTGCTTCCCAACGACTATACTACTTTTAAAACTGGTTCAGGTTCAAGTAGACAAAACAATTTTTATTTTTCATTTAAAGGGGTCATGGAGCGATATCGGGTTGGAATGTTCATGACTTTGCAGAGGCATACCGGTTATAGTCTGGCCCAAGTATACTCGTACAGACCGCCACTGATTCAGAAGCTTGTTTATCGCGGTGAAATTGGGAGGAGAAAAGGGTGCTATTTCTTTCAGTCTTGCCTTCGCAAAGCTTGATGACCTCATTGTGTGATGGAAACCACCGGCCTGACGACAGTCCAGCGTGGTTGATGAATAGGACACGAGAGCTGCGTGAGCACTCGACTTCGGCTCGTAACAATCAGTGTGCAGGGGCCACGCTAATCTTCTCTGTATCGTTCCAATTTTAGTATATGTACTTTGGAAGTACATATACTAAAGTTGTTGTACTGCGCCGGCTAAATTGCTCATCTACAGCGAGTGACTCGTCGCATCTTTGAAATGGCTGACCAACTACACGCTGTCTAAATATCCCCACAACCCCAAGTATTATTATTATTAACAATCAGTGCCTCGGTGGAAACTCGGGTAGTGACTCGTGTGCTACCACTGCTGTGATTAGAATAGGAAGAAAAACTAAGGCAAGTTTATTCAGTTAATAACGTCAGGGAGTGATTTTAAGCAGTATAGCCAAAGTAGAAAAATTGTTTCATGACCCCTTAAAAAGACACTGACACCCCCCAAATTTTTTTTTCCTTTTTTGCCAGGCGATTTATTATGGTGTCGGAATACTACCCAATTACTATTTTGCTACAGAGTCGCGTATTTTTTTAATAAAGCCAAAAAAAGCAACTGCTCGAAAAAAAGCAAAACTCCCACACCGCTCGGAAAAGTGGAGAGGATAGAGTGGAGTGGCGGAAGTCACGTAACTACACCCGTCCGTGCAATTTTTTTTTTTTTTTTTTTCGCACGTAGCAGACAAAATGCGTTGCCGGATTTGTTCGCCGTGGGATTCCTTTGCAGTTATGTTTGTTCCGCCTGCTGTTCTGTACTTCAAGATGAGTTGTTTTGTACATTTAAGAGTTGACAATGAGTAGTGAGTGCCCGTGGTGAATTCCCGTGATCGGCTCCGAAAAGAATACTCCCAAGATGTTGCGTGAAGAGCTGGCTCACATGTCCTGCATCCGAAAAAAAGTGGCATTGTGCGACAGAGTTTCCGAAAGATCAACGGGATCGGGACCAATGGCTGGCTGCAATTCCTGTGGAACAGTTACGCGAAGCTCGGAAAGCGGACGCTACACGATTCGTATGCTCTTGCTTTTTGTGGAAAGTGATTACATTGAGTTCGCAGGTGTCAAAAAGGAAATCCCATACCATTTAATTCAGCGACCTGTCGTACACAACATTGGTTTTTTTTTTTTTGTTTCGTCAATGATAATTGTAAAAAAAAGAAATATAAACATCGAAAAATGTTTGAAAAAAAAAAGTTGAGAATTATGCAGTGAACGCACAGAATGCTTCCGGTTGTCTGTGCTACCTTTTTATTTCAATCAACGTATTTGAAGCTTTTTGGAGGCCACAAAAATGGGTTTCATGATTTTTTCTATTTTTAATATTGAGTGTGTGCCTTCAATGACCCACGACTTTGATTGAATTTGGTGTTCGCGTCGAAACCTTAGAAAACGGCCCGTGACCACGGAAAAGAGAGTGGGCGCGACTCAAACCGGCCAGTTCTCGATCGGCGGTTTTCGGGCGGAAAGAAACCGAATTTCGAGCCGCAAATTCTGTTCTGGGAAGTTGAGCTCTCATATGTCACGTACAACTAAAAACCTCCGCGAGCATAAATACCCTGTCAGTGAGGCACGGAGAAAGCAGCATACGAAAAAGACTCAGTATCAAGTGAGCATGTTTCTTTTCCATACTAATTGCTGTTCTTTTAGCACCATTTCTTGTCAGTATAGTCAGTGACATCTTAAGAAACGCAGGTCGTGGGGACTCCTGTGCAACTCAATATTCTTCCTTAGCCAATCAAATGACGGCATTAACCGATAAGAACGCCGATGAATCAATCAGCAAGAAGCGTAAACATAATAAGTCACGCTCTTTGTTTCCTAAGCTGCCAAGGAATATAGAGCATTTCCCGAAACACACCGTAATGTCGTACGTTGCAGCATTGCGTGTCTTATTTTTATTTTTGTGTATTCGTACACCGTGCGCATAAAAATATATGTGATGGTCTTTTTTTATTTTTTTAGACTCCTCGAAGCATAAAGATCACGTAAATCACCCCAAAAAACCAGGTAAGAAATCTCTTCGGTGTACCGTCAACAGCGACAGTGCATTTGTAGACCGGTCACTGGGCATAGAGTGTCAGCACCGGCCGATAACAGCAGTGTGGTGCCAATCTAAAGCGGCCACCACTGGTCTTAGTTAGCCAAAGTCTATCGTCCTTGAAGTTTCTGAATACGAAGCGAAGAAATCAAAACAACTTCAGTCATAATAATTATTCCATGGCAATTCGTGAATGGCTAAACGGATAGAACCATCACTTACGTCCCATGTAAAATGAGCGGAATAATACTTATCAAATAAGGAGCAAAAAAAAAGAAAGGATAGGCTTTTATTTATTATTTTTTGCCTAGTTTTACTCCGAGTATACTCAGAGATTAAAGCAGAGAAATCTACAGGTCGAACTGGACGAATGACAAAGGCCAAAATCGGCTCGTGCCAACACCACCGGTACACAGGGCCTAAGCACTGTTCCCTCTTCACAACATTAGACCTAACACTACACTAACCGACAGCTTAAGAAACACAGAGAGTGGGTAATGATGCTCACGTTTCTTGCTTTCTGATTCGCTTTCGAACCTTCTTATCCACTAACGCCACTATCCCATTGGCTGCCGATTGATCATAAAACCCTTGGGACTGGCACCTTGGGACAGCGTTGAGCGCACCAGCAAATTTACTCAAATATGACTAAAAGTGTCAGAAAGAAAGAAAGAGATAGAGAGAGAGATAAGGGGGGGGGGGCATCGAATCAACGACCGCGTCGCCCGTTATCGGACTTCATATGCGACGTCATGGGAGGGAGCAAGCAGGCCTTGTCAGTATCTGCACCCCCCTCCAGTGACGTACCAACCTGTTTTTGAGTGGGGGGGGGGGGGAGCAAACCAGACGCTGCCCCCCCTCCCCCCCAGGGCCGGGGTGTGGTTTCTTTGGCATCCCTTGGGCGCCACCGGCCAGTGTTTGCCCTGCCCAGTGACGGCTGTTTCAGGGGGGGGGGGGGGGGGAACCCATGCCTTGCCCCCCCCCCTCCCCCCGGTTGGTACGCCCATGCCCCCTCTCTCTCTTTCGTTCCCTCTTTTCTTCTCGCTGCATTCTGCTCTATAGCCAATGATATCGCGGCGTTTGCTGATAAATACGCCGTAGAACGAGTCATAAAACTAGAAGTGTGCTACCGGTTTGAGTTGAGCTGGTTGCTAAATGATCGCTGATGTTGGGGGAAACAGCATGAGCACTAAACGATTGCACTGAGGAAGGGCAATCAATGGCGATGTTTTCTTTTCCTCGCCCACTTTCTTTTTTTTTATTTTATTAATTTTTCTTATGTCTCGCTTCTTTTTTCTTTAATGTATACCTTGTTTTATCAATGTGTGTGCGTGCGCACGAGTGAAAAGAGGACGAGGAAGAAGACTAGACCGAAGGACGAGGAAGATGAAATACTAAAGAATAATTGATATTCAGCTTTGTGTGCGTGTGTCTGGTCCTGCCTCTGTGCGATCGTTTAATGTTTAAGCAGCTTCCCCACTATCAGTGACTAGAAGTGTGAACACAAAATGTAACGCGCAGCGTCTCCTAAACTGTCCATGATGTCGATGATCGTAGGTGGTGTTCATCTATAGCCACGCATGCTGAGTGCCACACCACTGCGCGTCTGCTTCGGTGCAAAAGTTTTTCTGCCTTTTCATTGGTCAAGCTGCCTGCGTAAGTCGCGGTGATTGGTTCTTCCAGCGCCAATCAAGAGTACAGTCGTGTTACCCAACCGGCCCAAGTGCAGCAAAATTAAATCACTTGCAGGACTTCCGATAGACTGATTTCAATCTGATCAATCAAGATGCGTCATGTTCGTCGGCTTGCGCGCATATATATGCTGGCTCGTTTCAGGCTTCGGCCTCATGGGGGGTCGCCCTTATTCTGCTGGAAAAGTTAAATCGTCGTTTTAGATATACCTAGAAATACTTACGTATCTGTCTCTTCATTAGTTTTATATCCTGTTTTCCAGGCCATCTTGGATCAAAGTCTCATAATCAGGCATACGGTACTTGAAAAAATAACTGAAGACAAAAACAAAAAACTGCAACGTTTTTGTTTTTAGCGGATCTGTTTTCTAGTGTGTAGTTTCTGCAGACAATCATCATCTGTTTTCAAACAGACGAACTAAAACATTAAAAAACACGGTTTATGTTGAATCAAAGTTGTTAATTAGGATATTTTTATTAACGGAAAGGACCTTCAAGTAGGTGCAATCTTCGTACCGCATGTCGTGTTTAGTAACTTCTTCAGGGTCATGCGGCTTCTTTGCTGCATGTATAATGCTGTTACGTCAATGGAATACGATAGCGTATAATAGCTTTATTCATTCCATGCGATTCTATTCTACGGAAGAAAAGTACATTCCTTATTGCGTTTAATTTTACTTTTTAATATCACTACAAATTCGATTTAACCATCATCCTCATACGAAGTTCTTGACCGACATGTTCTTCGAAGCGGTTGTACAGTATGTCCAGACATGCTAACAACCGAAAAGGGGCTGTTGAAAGGCGTTATCTCTTTCAATCGATAAGCCTATTGGCTAATTTTATGGCTTTGGATTCCTCTTATTTATGTATAATGGTGGACAAAATGGACAAGAGCGCTTTTCGTCGCTCTCGGTAGCGAGCATGTGAAGCTCGAATACTCGAGGATTTAGACGGTTCCGTTCAACGCCACCAGGTGGAATCAACCAAACCTGGGCGTACGCTTAATTTCCTTTCGTCCACGACTGTAATACGTTGCTAGAGACGTATGCTTTGCTTTCGCTCAATTGAGACAAAGTTTTTTTTTTTTTTTTTTTTTTTTTCAGATGCGCCAGTAATTTTCGATTTGACCGAATGCGTCAGAGGTTTTGCCACGAAGTTCGCAGAGGAAAGACACCGAGAGCTCATCTCATGTGACCTTTCAGCTGCTGGCGAGTTTTCAGATATCACTCACAAGGGAAGGTACGGAATCGCCATATGGTGTAGTCACTACGTGACCATCCCCGAGCCATGAAACCGCGGCATCAGCTGATAAGAACGCCAAAGATGTCAAACCACGAAGCAAGAAGGGTGAACCAAACAAACCACGAATTGTGTTTTCTATGCCGTCTGTGACAACAAGAGCGTCACTCCATACGCACGTTATTATCATTCATCCATTTCGCGGCGAGCAAGTGTGCCAAATGGGCGGGGAGCAATACGGGGAACACGCGGGAAATGAGTGATGACGAGGCAGCAAAGGTCGTGTTCGTCAGTGACTGAGGTCGAGGGTAAACAAAACACGCGAGGTGCGCGAGGAGCATGTTGACTTGCACGCCTTACAGTCGGTGACAACTTAAGAATTGCAGGGCGTGGCTTATTATTTCCATGCTTTTTCGCTTCGCAATTTGTTTCTCGGCGACATTATCGGCTAGTGCGGCGATCTGATTGGCCGTGAAGCGACAAAACGAAGGTCGGGGGACTCGCTATGGCCTCGAGTTTCTTACGCGCTGGGTTAGAATGGCCAACTGAGAAAGGCATCTTCGTGGGGGCAGTACGCTGTGCGTCTAAGAATGAAAAAAAGCCGCTCACTTCTGTTGAAAATGGGTGCTCCTACAGGCTGCTCAATTGTCTTAGAATAGTAATAGTGGCATTTATTTTAGCTTCGAAGAGCAGCGGCGAGGCAGGACCGAAGAAAAAGGCATTTAGTGTACCACGGAATACCTAAATGGAACCAACACGCTCAGCGCAGAGACAAAAAAAGAAGAAAAAAGAATGCCGGCGTTAGTCCTTAATGTAACTAACGCGCCGGAAAAAGACACGAGCTTCAAGAAACTCTTCTCCAAATTCTCTAAAACAAAAAAAAAATCATGAGAGAAATCTAACCAGGTTGCCCTACACTATTTCATACGCATACACGTCAAGGCGGGCCAGGATTTTCGTGTTTGTGCGCTAATGTCTTACGCCATTGTGACGTCACTAGAACGTCACAGTGGCGTCATTACACCCATCGCTGCTTTCATATTAAATATTAGGGACTGGCGACGTTTACTCGAGCACAGAACCTGGAAGACAAGGCCTGCATCCCCCCACCCCCTCCGCTCCCAAACATAATTTCTAGCGAATGCACGCACCGCTGCCTACATTGCGTCAGCACTGTCGCCAGCAGGTCTTGCAGCATCTCACAACGAGTGCGTCGAGCTTCTACGTGTTTGCCGCTTAGTGCGGGTCAGGGATCCACCAACGATGATGTCACACGGAGGCCTTGTCTTCGAAGTGGTATTGCCCGAGCACCGCTGTGTAACCAATAAGGTGAAACGACACTGCTCGGATAAACCGAAGCCAGGTCGTTCCTCTTTATTCGTAAACGATTTCCCTAATTTTATCGAAATTCCACCCTCCTCCTCTCTTTTTCTTCTGCGTGTCTTGCTGTTCGCGGACATCACAACTGAACATGGCACGCGCCGGCAGATGTCTGGGTTTTGCGGTTATACACATAAATTATTCGTCGCTAACAACGCTACGCTTATAACGACCAGTTTCAACAAAAAACGCGCGACAAATGGTTCCAAGATAATAATTACTGCGGCGGTATTTTTTTACAGAACACCTTTTAAAATCAAGCTCGGAAATATCACTTACGGAACCCATGTTCACTCGAAGATGTCCAAAAAAAGTACCAACTATACTCAATATTTCATGAATCCGTATACGGAACCCCAACCTGGACGCTACATGAGTAATGTGAGGGCACCGATAGCTGCTGTATGGAAATTTGATTCAGTCTTCAAGAGCGAATTCCCGTTAGTGACCTCAACGGAACCTCCGAAGGTATATAACGGTTCCCAAGAGAGAATTTACGAATTTGATTTCAACGGTACATTAAGGCTGGAACGGAAGGGATACACTAATCATATTAGAAACAAGACATTCAAGATAAAACCGGGGCAAGAAGTAGAAGTGACTGAGACGGTCAGGGAATCGACGAAGGTAAGTGTGATGCATCTCACTCATTCATTGTTTATTTTATAGAAGAATGCATAAAAACATTTCACTAAGTATTATTAGAGCCCAGCTCTTAGGGGCCCGTTTCCGGCTTGAGCGGCGTCGGCGTCGCCGTCGGCGTCGGCGTAACCGCGCGGTGCATCATGGGAAATGTCCCATAATGCACTGCGCGAGCCCCCCACCGGGGTCACGTGACTTCGTGGGGGGCACGTGACCCCCCGAGGTCACGTGACCCGCCGAGGTCACGTGACCCCCCCGAGGTCACGTGACTCCCCTGAGGTCACGTGACCCCCGCCGATGTCGCGTGACCCCCCGATGACATCATCGACACTGATGACGTCACCGGCATCCACATCGTCATCGTCACTGATGACGTCATCGTCAGTGATGATGACGATGACGATGCGGATGCCGGTGACGTCATCAGTGATGATGACGATGACGATGTGGATGCCGGTGACGTCATCAGCGATGATGACGATGACGATGTGGATGCCGGTGACGTCATCAGTGATGATGACATCAATGATGATGACGTCATCAGTGACGATGACGATGTGGATGACGATGACGATGCGGATGCTGGTGACGTCATCATCACTGATGACGTCACCGGCATTGGGGGTCACGTGACCCCCAAGGTCACGTGACCCCCCCCCCCTGGTTAGTCTAACCCCCCCCCAGCGCCCTTCCCTCCTCCTCCTCAAGAGCTGCGCTCTAATGCGGTGTTACAGGGAGTTGTAAGCGGCTTTCACTTTTTTATTTTGTATTGTTCTCTGCGTCTTTATTAGAATATGGGTCTCATTCTCACCTCTTCTGAACGTCTACGTGTTTAAATTTGAATGATGTTGGACAGTTCATTGTGCGAAAATTAATTTAGAACCTCGAAAGCCCAAAAGGACCGGAAGCAGAACCAGGCTTAATATCCTTTGGCCACAGTCTGGGTATTTTGGTCCTAAATCTCCAAACAAATGCCAGAGTTGAGCTTCACTGGCCTGTTGTTCGGCTGTCACCTGCCAGTTTTGTGCCACAATCACCCAGTAAATGCCTGGGTGAGGCTTCACTGCTGGCTCTTCGATTGTCACCCGCAACTTTGGCTAATGCAAGCACCCCAAAACAAAAACAAAAAAACAATAAAAAAACGGTGAGTTTACTACAGAACGCAGAGACAGCCAATCATCACAACGATTGAAGAATTCCGGCATTTGACGACGATCGAAAGACGATTAGACCCAAAAGAAATGCAGTATGCGCAGGGACAGCGGAGCGGGCAAGTGAAGCCTCATGCTTATTGCCTTTGCGAACATCACACTTGGTTGGTATAATTTCATTACAGTGATGTCTCGTTAATATGAACCCCGTTAATAGAAATATGCCGCTATATCGAAAACATTTTCGGAGGCGAACTAGCTTTATATACATGCATTTTTTGTCTCGCCATTATGAGTAACTCCCATTATGGACGCTCTTTATGGGGAAGCAAGGGTGTCGATATTAACAGGCAATCATTGTGTCAGCCTCGTAATTCGCTGGGATCCATTTTATTTTTTTCCCGTGAGTTTTGTCTCTGAGTTCTGCAGGAAACTGAACTCGTGGACCTTTTCTTCAAAGTCTGGCACTTTGGCACTCCTGTGGTGAACCAGAGAAGTGCCAAAGTTGGCATTTGTCTGGAATTAAGGCACTTTAGACACTAAATAACCTACGCTTCAGATGTCGAAACTCTGTTCCCGGATTATCTTGTGGCAGCCGCCATCTTGGTGATTTGCAAAGAGCAGACGAAACTCTCGATCGTCGCAATTCAAAAAAGCGATTTCCTCAGCTTTATATACGGTGTTAGAAAGCTAAAACGATATCGCTTTGCTCTGTCGCGAACTGTTTGAACAATTCTGGAGGACTTAGAAGGGCTTCCTGCAATTTAAGATAAACCTTAAGATAAGTGGCGACCGTGATTTTAAGCACCGAGATGGCTTAGTTGCGTTGCTCTGAAGCGCATACATTATCTAGTGACTCTCGTCAGGTCCAAGGCAAAGTATTCGTGCCCTAACGAGCGTCTTAAAGCAAAACCCTAATAGGACCGCGTTAGGCCCCTTGGATTGTCAAACTTGGGCCAAATTAGGTCTCCCTCTGACATGCTGCCTGTTACGTTTATAACAAAGCTAGGGTGTGGCATTAGAGGTTATTGAACAAAAATGCAGAAAGGCACACATAATTGTGACATAGGCATCACGATGCCTCGCCAATCACAACCAAAAAACCTGCTTCACGCAGCCGGTGCAGACGACCCCGCAAGAGGAAAAAGGCGGTTTCCGTGCTTGCTTACTTGAATTAATGACGGCTGACAATAATTCTTTTAAATTTGTTATGATCCCATGACCTTTCATCAACGTGAAACACCCTCCTTATGAGTAGCCTTATAATAAAAATAATGCAAGCACAAATGCACCTGCACTGTCACCATGCAGAGCCGCATGAGCAGCGACTTCGCTCAAGTCGGTGTCGATGGGACAGGAAGATCATGATTGGTCAATTACTGTCATGAAGTCACAGTCACATGACCTCACGAGGGAATTTCCAACAACACACTACGCTCTCGTGAGACATGGCGTGCTATAGTGCTGAAGGATACAAATGTGAAATCGTTGACGGACTATCAGATCATATGGCGGTGTTACTAACTTTGTTTGATAGCGTTGCACTTTCAACAGAAAAAGCTGTTAAACTGTTGTACATCATAATGCCGACAATAACGCCATTATTGACGCATTTGTTTTTAGTATGATGACTTTATCGGTGACATCAGATTAATTAGTTGAGTTATGGAAACGTTTTCTTGCTATTGTTACGCGGTGCGTCTCAAAATATGTTCCTTATCGCAACGGAAAAAAAAATTAGAAAGCATAACCCATGGATCATGAGGGAAGTGGTACATGATACGCATTAAAAGAGATGTGAACCGATTGCAGGAATCTTGGAAGCGATCCGGCCATATTTACACTTCAGCATCCTATTTTCCTTGTAGCAATAGGAAACTTAAGCAAATGGTACGCGAATCAAGGCAAACCCATTACAGCGTTTCTCTTTCATCATTCATAAAAACTAGTTTGTTGATGATGAATTTGAAATCGCTACTATATTAGGTGATTAATGTCCTTCCGTGCTTACAAGAGATAATGACAATGGAATAAAACTTTCTTTGGGGCTAGTTTGTTCATATCGATTAAAAGGTTAAAAGGCGCGAACAAACAGGACGAAAAAAGACACACGACACGGACAGGCGCCAACTTCCAACGCTTCAATTACCGAGTGGGAAGTTGGCGCCTGTCCGTGTTGTACGTGCGTCTTTTTTCGTCCTGTTTGTTCGCGCCTTTTAACCTTTTAATAGGTAATGACAATGGGCCTGACTACGACATTCTTTCTCAGTTACCTGGTCTAGAGAACATCACTGTCAATGAGGCCTGGTACATTGTCATTATTACTCCACTATGGTGCAAAAAAGCGGTTGCCCAGACGGTATCCCCAGTATGTTTCTCAAACGCTACGCGAAATGGGTTTCAAAATATTTGTTTATTTTAAAAACGTTATTGTCCACTTTGAGATTGCCGGTTTTTTTTAAGCATGCAATTGTTAAGCCCATGCATAAATCAGGTGACCCTCATCAAACAGTTAACTACCGCCCCATTTCTTTAACGTGTATTAGTTGTAAATTAATTGAACAGATCATTGCTAAACATTTTGTTCCACACGTCACAGAATATAAACTACTGTCAAATGTACAACATGGCTCTACAACGGTAATCGAGTTAGTCGAAACAGTGCACAATTTTTCATCAGTCATTAATTGCCGAGGTCAGGCTGGTGTCATCTACCTTGACTTTTCCAAAGCCTTTGGTATACGGTTTCTCACCCAAAGCTCATGTTAAAGCTACGCGCGATGCTTAGGAACGATCAGATTGTGAACTCGATTGGGGACTGCATCTCATATTGAATCTCATATTGCAAATGTAGAATCCAGGGTTTCACATGGATCTGTCTCGGGGACGTTGATTTTCTTGTTATTTATTAATGATATAGTCACTAATATTAATGTGAATTTAGGATTGTATGCGACGGCTGCATTTTATACCATAAAATCAAAAGTCCCGATGATCATCGCATTCTAAATATTAGCCTCCGGGATGTCAAAAAGGTGCAAAGAACGGCAAATTGTACTTGACAAAGAGAAAACTGTATTTATGTCTATCACCCATAAGAAACAACCATCGCTGTTTCCATACCACACCTGCAAACAAACACTGGTTCGGGTTTGCGGATACACTTATCTAGGCCTACGCATAACGCACAATTTAAAATAGAATAAGCATATCACTGCTCCTATAGATAATACTTCTAGAGAACCGTGGGTCTTAAGACGCGAATTACGACAGGCAGATCCTGATACTAAATTACTATCATACAAAACTTTTGTGATCCCTATCCTGAAACACGTAAGTATAATTTGGCATGCGTTCACCAAAACGAACATCAATAGGCTAGAAATGGTACAAAGAAAAGCGGTTCGATTTTTTTCGGGCAAAATAATATTTTAGCTTCAATTACCGACTTAATTGATAAAATACACCTATTAACCCCTAATACCAGAAATACTCTTAACAGACGTAAATTACTGTACCAGATAACTCACGGCATCATCAGCATCAATCGGGACAAGTACATATAATCTTCTGACTGTTCCAATGCACGTAGCCAATATTAGTATTATATTGTAGAACCATTGCCACATAATAATGTATTCCAGTATTCATTTTTTCCTCGAACCTTCAAAGACTAGAATAACCTACCCACTGAAATAGAAAACTCAAATTCTTTAACATCATTCCTAATCTATGTAAAAAAAAAACACTTCAACATCGTGTGAATTTTATATTTGTTTCGCTTGTATCTTTTTGTTCGCATGTGCTTTTTTCCCCATGTGTTTCTTCCATACATTTATAGCATGTTTTCTTACTGCAAATGATATTGTTTGCCATATTGAACTTGCATTTGCTTCTGTATTGTTATTTATGTAGCATTCCTACAACGGTCCTGAAGAAGAACCAGTGGTACAAAAAAAAAAAAAGACAAGGCCGTAATGCTGAATGAGATTGCGTCATCAGAGAAGGCCAACGCTGGACACAGATTAGAAAGGAGTGCAGCGTCAGCGCTCGGCTTAGGGCGAAGTTTGAGCCGAACGTTGACGGAATCGTCGTGTCCAATCTGTGACCAGTGTTGGCCTTTGCTGATGACGCCATCTCATTTAGCACTACGGCCTTGTTATCTAGGAGGTGTTGGACGTGATGCGTGGAATCAAAGTCATTAAAACATCACATGTAATGCGAATTAAAGGTCGCCGCGTGTCTCAACTGATCTCACTTTATAAAGTAATTCATTAGTCTTAAAGAAAATTTTTGAAGAATTTTAGGCGCAATTCCAACTCAAGACTCTTCGGTTGCGAGCCAGACTCGCTACTGACTATAGGCCATGTCCAGCGCTAGGCTAAGCAGGCACGCTTGCATGGCTTGGTAGCGAGCAGGAGTTTAAATGTTCCACTCTTAAAGGCGAAGCTTACGCATACTCGTGTAATACTATTTTTACTTCCTCGTGTGATATCAAACAGAATTGAAAACTTCAACTGTCTACTGCATATACAAACACTACTTCAGAATATACTTTAAAACCCTACGCACTTTGTCATATTGGTTACCAAGTGGTAGGTTAATGGACGTACCCAGATTAGCGAGATTTTCTGAATATGATATGCGTCAATTTTATGCGTGCAGTGCACATCTGCGATAATTCGTGACGTTAGAAAATTGATTTACGTTAAGTATCTCCTACATATCCTGTATATTATATATGTATTTTTTTCTAAGAAATGTTGCATCGCGTGTTTTGTGGCATACCCGAGATTCAAAACACTAAAAATGTTCCGGAAATTTATAGGTTTAGTCAATGTCTACATGCGCCATCGACAATTGCGAAAACCCTTAATTTAAATTGAGGACAAAATTCTATGTACAAACGACACAGCCGAGAAACGCGCAAGTCCTTTCTCTGAACATCTTTCATGTGCATAAACGGATATATACGGTAAACCTTAAGACTGGTCCGCCCACTTCCGTCTGACTACAACCGAGTACGCTTGTGACTGCTTGCGACCGGTTGCGCAGCATCGCAGCGGTCGTAAGACGTAAAACTAGTTATTAAAAGCCTCTCCAGTTGCAAGCAATCGCAAATCTGTGAACTAGATTTTCGTCATGACTGTTTCAGCGCTCAACAAACAAAATAGAATAATTTATTATTTCAGTTTATATCGCATTTGGGGCTCTTGCTGCTTTTTTTCCTCGACATCTCCAAAGAAAAAGTAACGGACAATCTCAAAACACGTGCACGCGAGAACAACAAGTGCTTATGGTCTTGAATTCTTACCTTTTCTTTTTATTCATAGGTGAGACCATTCTCTGTAAATGTCACCCTGGTGGGCTACTTTGGCATCAAACTAACTACAAGGGGAGACGAACCTGGTTCTCATGTATTTTGCGTCACCGAGCTACCATGTGCACACCTCAAGAAAACGGGGGCAGATGAAATGACATTTGAAGTTAATGGGACATTCGAGGAGCACTATCCAGTCTCGGCAATCACACTGACAAGTCACAACTTAAAGAAGAACCAAGAGGACATTCAGGTGGCTTCCGACCCAAAATCCAACTCCATCTAGAGGAAGACATCTATGAAGTACGACTTGCAATAATAAGGTGTCACGTTACATAACTATAGTAAGAGGTTTAATCTTGGACCTCGAGTGGGAGACACGCATAAACAGAGAGCAAATAAAACCGTTTGTTACCCATGTGCCTGTCCAGGAGTGAAGTGAATCGATCTCCTTAATCTTGTTTGCCACGCGCATGACGTGCATGGCAAACAAGAATAAGGAGAAACTTCGGTTTCTTGTAGATTTTCGTCTTTTTAATAGGGCAATCACTGCCATGGGGACTCGCTGCTTACTTGAAAAGTGTAATAAAAACATATATCAAAAAGGTTTAAATGCCGAGTCCCTTTCGGTAAGGAACAAACTAAACAATTAGTATAGTTTGTTTTATTTCAGTTTTTCCCGTGTGCTGATTCATCTATAAAATTCAACCAGCCTTTTTTTTTTTTTTTTTTTTTTTTAAGTGGGCATATTTGTAATACATTTTACCTCTATAGCACAATCTAAACAAGAAGCCTCGAACTCCCAAGTTTTATTTATCAGGACCATTTGTGCCCCACTAGGTGCCTCCTAGTGCATATATAATAAAATATGGTGGGTTTAACCAAAAACAACCAACCAAAAAAAAAACGAAAAAACATTCCAAAATGTGTTTGAAATTGCCAAGTGGAGTGAATATAGTTCCCTCTCGTTCACATTACCCCACACTATACTCTATTTCACCTTATAATGTACCGCAGGAAAGGCTACAGCGAGCTCCTTGCTCTAGGGCACATTTCGGCGGCACAAGCCCTCGTGCATTAAGGGCAGCTGCCAACGCTAGGAGCTCGGCTCTTCTAGCCTTCGTTGCGGTACAACATAAGGTGAAACGAAGTATAGGGCGCCTCAATAGAGAGTTTTAGTAGATCGTTTTCAAAGGCCCGCTACCTCTACGAGCGCGCGCTTCAGAGCATGCATCGAAGGGGCAGCGCGAGCTCCCGCTACGATTAGCGTGGCCTGAAAACACGATCTACTAAAACTCCCCAATGTCCCTCTGTTTAGGGCGATGCCACCCTTTGTTGTACCTACAGTAGTAGTACCCGATGCCGACAGCACGTGCTCACGGGGAAAATAGAAAGAAATCGACAAAAACGAAATGTCGCCATAGCACAGTGAGCGCCACAAACGCGTGCAGGGACACGCTCTTTCACGCGCTTCTGTACAAAAAAGAAAAATAAACGTGTGGGACAAAATGGCCACATGTCTCCACCCTAAGCAGAGCGCACATGAAGGCATCGTACCCCACGGATATCGCGTGAACCTTGTCAATACAGGTTGTGGTGAGCGGAAAGCATTCTCACTTTCCACATAATATTCGGCTTTTCTTTTGTATGCGAAGCCAGCAACTTATCGGCGACGTGAGCGATCGAAAGCGTCGCTGTGGTCGGCCTTCCACGATTGGCCGAATGCTGACTATGACCTCAGCCAAGGACTTCTCATGGACGGAAAGAAGAGCAATGTAAGAACTTCCATTTTGACGGTGTTGGCAGAAGTTGGTTTCAGAGTACAATGATTTCAAGCTTCCGCTATGCTCATTACAAACATACCGAACTTCTTGTTCGCAAGGTACTGGCGTCAGGAAAGGGAATGATAGGAGGGAGCCACCAACCACTATCGGGTAAATATGGCTGCCTGAAAGCAGGTCGTGCTGTGCCATGGATGTGCAAGCTCAACGCACAACGCTCCGGCGCCACCAGCTTGCTGCCGGCGTGTGTAGATCGTCTGGTATATAGTCAAGCCTGTATGGATGGATGGATGGATGGATGTTAACGGCTTTAGCCTTCATAACGGGCGGCAGCTTGCATAATTTGGACAACATGGCGCACCAGGGGTGCCTACTGGCACCCCACCCCCCGCCAAAAAAAAAGTTTTACCCTCGTTGTTTAGACTAGCTTTTGAAGCGTAACTGGTTGCAAACATCTGCAGGGTTTGACCTTTTTCAGAAAAGTGCAGGCATTATGACAGCGGCACTTGGTCTATCCCTGACAGCTTAAGAAAACCTGAGCGTGGCCTATAATGTTCCTCGCTTTGTGATTGGTTCTTCGCCGTCCTTATCGGATGATGCCGCAATCGTATTGGCTACGAACCGATAATGAGATGCATGGTGCTCGCCATTGCTTGAATCTGTAAGTGGATAAAGGGATCACGGTTTCTTATAGTGTGCAGTTCATGTGGCTAAGCTCAGGAACCAGAGGGAAAAAATACAGAAAAAACTTTCCATCACACGGGGGCGGTTGGAAGAAAAGTGTCTCGTCTACTTTAAATATGCCCACAACATTATCATAAATTAACATTTAGTCACGGATGTTTGGAACGCATTAAATGAAAACACATTAGACGCGTATTTGCGGTTAGTGAAGGATTTTTTCCTTCTTTCCTAGCTATTAAGATATATGCGGTCGTGTGACTTTGAAAGCCGGCTTCTTTGAGGGTAAACGCTCGGATGAGATTAAATAAACAATAAATTTTAAAAAAAATGACTTTCTGCTGAGTGCCTGAATAGGATATGTATAGACATGCCTTGCACACGAGCCAGGTTACAGCCGAAATTGCTGGCCTTCTCTCGTCTTTCCTAGATGCCGAGCCAGTGAAAAGGGCCTTGACGAGAATTCAGAAAGGCCAATGCTGGGGAGAAGGACACAGTAGAATCTAAAATGGCGATAACCTGCCATGCTGTTGTCATGATGAAGTGAAGTAAACGTTATACGAAGAAACAAAAATTTCGGGTCGGTTATGGCGTCGTCCTTGCAGAGCTGCTGCAAATCGCCTATACCACAAAAATAATTTTTCTGCGAAACAATAAGAAGAAATTACCGCAAAAAACGTTGCGTGAGAGATTTTGAGTCCGGCGCAATTTCAAAACATGCTTCGATTTTTGGACGTTGACCCCAAAATGGAAGCACGCGTTTTAGAACGACGTTTCATTTTTTTGACGTACGTGTTCTATCCAACAACTTACAAACATTTTTCTTTTTCTGGTTCACTGCCTTCTTAAACACTGTTAAGTCTGTGCTGTATTTTCCATACTTGTTTTAACTATGTTCAATTTCTGATGTGACGTCTTCTCAAGATATGGATGTACTAGAATGCGGAATAAATTACAAGGAGCAGATTTCTTTCTTCCCTGGTGAATGAAATGTCCATTTATTTCACCAACGTTTGTCCGACAGAAACAACATCGCAAGCCGGAACTTACAATTTATCATAAAATCTTCTATTACTAAAATATTTTAAGCATTTTATAAAAAAAAAAAAAAATTTGTGTCAGTGGATTTTTATACTACTTTTCTCTATTCTGGGTTATGGTACAATTAGTAAACACAATCATATGATAAAAACCTTGGCCCAAAACTTAAGCGGCCTCCGACACTGCTTTCTGGGTTCCATTCAGCTTGTCAGCCATTGCTTTCCGAATGTCGGGCTTGGACACCTTGCCCACGCTTGTTCGAGGAAACTCGTCCACGATCACCACGTACCTGGGGACCTTGAGGCTGTTCACCTGTGAATCATTTATTGTAAAGCTCGTCAGCATCCAGAATGGCAATCACTATGACACTGTGTAAAGGTACAAGGTATTACACAGGCATTAAACATACCACATAAATGAGATACTACATATATGTACTAAAGGTACTATTTTAAATGATGAAATGGAACATTTGTTTAGACCTCAAAATTAAGTCTGGGCAGTGGCATTACGCTATGCAAGCATGACGATTTGCACTGCACAATGCCACAGCGCCGACTTTATTTTAAGGTCCTAAACGAATGTACCGCCTCATCATTCGCTGAGCTGATTTCTTAGATCGCAGAGATTGGCTCTTTGAGTGTTTTGCAGGTAAGTAGACGCGCGGGCATTTTCCACAGTGTACTGCATAGTAAATACTCATAGGTACTGAAGGTATCGCGTTGGTACTGGATATGGGATCCTTCAGACGACAGAAAGTTCCTTCTTTCGTCACCAGGCGGAACAGACTACGAACTAAATGCATTGCCACACTCTAATTTATATCCTCCATGACCGTATATACTCTATAAAAAGGTGAAAATAAACTAAAACAACAGCCCTTAGTAGTCAGTCGGACATTGTTAAAACAGGACTTTAAACGAAACAATCAAAGGAGGCGCCTGAACTGACAATGTGGGCGTTTTTTTTTTTCTTTTTCATACGATTTAATTACCAAACGTAATTCTAAATTGGTCAAATCCCTAATGGTCTTCGCCAGACGGCGTACAGACAATGTATATAGTCTTCCCTTCACATGCGAATAACCTTCAAATGCACAAGTAAAAAGTTTATTTTTCCGAAATGATTCAAATTTATGTAAAGCGAAACTGAGATAAACAGAATGTGTGCATTTCGGACTGGCTTCGAGCCCTGTACCGCGGCCACATTTACATTGTTTTTTTTACTCTGAAGAAACTGTGGCGCCACATCTTGTGTAGTACAAGCTCACCTGACTGGGCCTAGCACGACACTTATAGCACCTTCGCTGAGTTTTTATCTTTCTGTGTAGTGCTGAAGAACGTAAAAACACCTTTGTACATCCGAAATCGGCTAGATTCAACGCCGCGAGACAATCGAAAGTGCCAGATTCATGCCACCACCGCTAGGATACGCGTCTCTTATTTCTGCGTGGTGATGTCAGAACATCTGCCGTGCCGAAGTTTTTTTGTATTTTTTTTTTTCCTTTTGCTTTTTTCGTAACGCATGAAACGCCGTCTCTTGTCTGACGCTCTCAGCCGCAGAGTTACTACAATAAACGCTAGAGGCTGAGCTGTCTCTAGTGTCTACGGGACTTCCGGTTGCAAATTAAAGCAAACGGCAACCGTCTACTTTTCCAGTCTTCCTGTGTACTCCTATGGGAAAGCGTACGTGATATTTTTCTCTTCGCCGGGGAATAGCAGAGATAAGCGTAGTTTCTTCCCTCGTAACAGGTACCCTGTAGCTGTATTTTATTTAGTTCATGTTCTTTTTTTTATTACTGAGCGATGTTTAAGTTAGCGAAAATTGAGGCCCAGGTCAATGTTGTACAGCGTGATATGTCAATACAAGCTATCAAATCAAGCAAAAAGCATTAAAGACGTTTACTATTCTCTGTAACGCCGAATTGGAGCGCAGCTCTTGAGGAGGAGGAGGGCACGGAGGGAAGGGTATGCGCCTTCTCCTTCCCTGCTAAATTTAGCGGGAATATCGGCAATGTTAGATGCGTAGACGTCACGTGTGACGTCACGTGACGTCACACGTCACGTGTTTCTATAATTGCGTCACACGTGGCGTCACAAGGGTAACGTTTTGACGTTACCCTCGTGACTCTCAAGGGAATTATCTTCAAGAGTGTAACCCTCACGGAGGTTACCTTTATAAGGGTAGCCCTCACAAGGGTGAACTCTGTGAGGGTTACTTTGTGAAGATAACCCTCGTGAGGGTTACCCTCATGAAGGTTACTCTCATAGGGGTACCCTCGTGACGATAACCCTCGTGAGGGTTACCACCATGAGGGGTACCCTCGTAACCCCCATGAGGGTTACCCTCATGAGGGTTACCCTCGTAAGGGGTAACCCGCGTGAGGGTAACTCTTGTGATGTTACGTGTGACGTCACCTGTCCCATAATGGAATGCACGGTTGCGCCGACGCCGCTCAACCCTCAAACGGGCGCCTAAGAGCTGCGCTATAAAAGAACAATTAGAAAGTGCGTAGGGTTGATTCAAGCTGTAATGGCATTCAAATGACGGAAATGCAGTTTGTTGCTAATGCACAGTTTGTTACTAATAAAGTATGTGTTCTTCGTTCCGTAACTCTGTGCTGCGCTCTTGTCGACTGATTTGACTGTTTGATTCGGCATATATTAGCATTATTTTGGTGCTCTTTCAAGCTGATCTACTTTGTGTGCTTTATAGCATTAACTTTACACGTAAATATGTGCCCTATAATAGCAGTCTGCAACGTCAACACGTATTATGCGCGTGCATTTTGGGACATTTTAGCGCAGTTTTCAACGCCATGAATTCCAAACAAAAACGCTCTGACTGAGACATATTTTTGTGCATCAGATTGTAAAACGTTCCAAACTTTATATTCTGTCAGAACACTAAGCAATGTTTGCTCTTATAATCGAGCGCGAAGAGAAAACGGATTTGCGTTTTCCCATAGGAATGCATTACCGGAAGTCAAATTTAGACTGTTTGCTGTCTGCTTCAAAATGCAACAGCACACTAGCGCCACCTGAACCTCTAGCGTTTATGGTAATAACTCTATACTCTCAGCGTCTTAAGTCTTTAACCTTAGCTTCGAAGGCGTTCGAAGTTTTGTTGTTTCTTTGTATTTTCCTCGTGATCTCGCGTTCCACACCAGAGCAGGCACGCTTCTGTATGTATGAAAGTTTGAGGCGCTTAAGTTTGTGCTACCCAAAAGAAGACCTGACGAGTCCCTTTTCGCAGCGCCCCGTGGGCAACGCAGGAGGCCTACACCGTTTAAAACGATGGAAACGGAACGAAACGAAAGTAAAAACTGAAGAGGCATGTGTGGAAGGTTAGGTGACGCTTCGAAATACTTGGCAAATTGCTAAACCCTTTCGGGAAAAAATGTATAGAAGCGATAGTAAAAGAGTGCGGGGCGACGGTTTGACAAGACACGGCGACACGTGTCAGGAAAGTCGAGATTAAACGTCAGCGTCTACTGCGTCCCTCATAACTGGATAGAAGCGCCGAAGGACAGGGACAAGGTGAAGGAGGTAACCACAACACGGAGCGCTCCATGTTGCAGTTAGCTCCTTCGCTTTGTCCCAGTTCTTCGGCGCTTCTATCCAGTCATGAACCAACTAGTCCAACTGAACAATTCGTTCCTCATAACACGCAGTTCTGCACATGATGGTTTCATCAAAATACAGGTGTACGTTCTTTTTTTGTTTTCCATTGTTATTATTATTAACGTAGCTACAACAAGGTACTGTAATTTTTTTTAGGCTGAGGATCAACTTGCCTTGGTCCTGCAGTGCCGCTGCAGTTCTTCAATGTTGGCCGTAGCGCCCTCCCTGAGCTTCACCCAAGCGCACACCTCTTCGCCCAGACGGGCGTCGGGCACTCCAACGACGCTGGCTTCTAAAATGGCATCGTGGCCTGCAGATTTTTTAAAATATTTTAAAGGTTATTGTTTACTTATTTATCGACACAAGTATGACTGAAACATGGATATTTTAGCATCTCTATGTGACAAGGCCGTAGTGTGGGAGTTTTTACGTCAACCATAGGAGGCCAGTGGGGAGGACGTAGACTGGACTGGAACGCTGCATGCGGTGTTGGGCTCTTGTTTTCCCTGAATAAGCGCAAGTCCTAGGCGAAAGCTGACAAGGACCGCAAATCCTTATAATTTAAATCATGCGCCGCTATTTCCCTTAGTAAAAAAATAATAAAAACGTGATCAAAGAGTGCCACGTGCACCTTTTCACGAAAAAAAATTTGCGTTTCTTGCAGGGGTGTGTCATATTTTTTATAACGTTTCGATACGCAAATAAACCACTCATGACGTGTCGGAGAAGGGAGGCAAAGGGGACAAAGTACAAAGACAAATTTCCAAACACAGCTAAGTGGCTGGTAAGCGACCGGAACGTATAGTTGTCATTTTTGCCCAGCTCGCTTGCACCTTTGCACTATTTGCATTATCATCAAACCACTCATTACTGTTTTTGTTTTTTTAAATAAGCGTGGGGTCGCATTTATCGGGTAATTGTCATAAAACGACGAACAAAAAAAGAACATCTTTAGGGCTTCTTTAACAGTACCAGAAAACATAAAAAAACTATAGGAACCGTGCGGATCTAATTCAAGCCCCGACCAGGGCGCCCCTAGCGGCAAACGGGTCCGTTGCATCGGGCATTTTCTGCCAGTCGCTGCGTTGGTTGTGCGTTGTAGTGGGTTAGCCGGTGAGCACTGTAATTTCTGAGATGACTATTCCGCACCAAGAAAGCCGCAACAAGTGCTGCCTGGTCGGCTGAAACAGTACGTCGAAGATCGCGCACGGCACGTAGTACTACATCGTCCCTTCGAAGCCGTACGAGGCGGAGTACTGCGCGACCTGGGTACGACTTGTGCGTCCATACAGGTTAGTGGTGTTTCTTACCTTCCAGTTCGTGTTTTGTTTAAGCTGCTGACGTATAATACAGTTACCTTCTTTTCTCTTCTAGCGACGATAGAACAGCATCGACACCGACGGCAAACTCTACGCAGCAAATACTTCACCGGAATCGAGAAGCGGAATGCGGTCGCCCTCCTAAGCCTACCCTTGGATGTTTCCATCAGCCTACAGGAAGATAGTAAAGAGAATCGCGGAACGGCGCGAAAAAAATATCGCCCAATTATTGTCAAGCTGATTCAGAAATAAACGTACATAATTACCGCAGTCCCCTCAACGCCAACTAAATTTTTTTGCGGGCGCGCTTAATTTTGTTTGCAGAGTACGGCGCTCCGTGACATCCACTTGTCCGTCGAAACGGACCTCCTTCACGTCGTACACGCGGCCAGATTCATGAAAAAGTTTTCTCTTCGTCATATTGGCACCACGGAAGAAGCTTTCTGGATTCGTAACCGCCTTAAACCCCGTCGTAATCACCCCGGGAACACTGTCCGCTGTTCTGCTAATCGCCACTGCTTCCCCCCGATGATTCTGCACCGGCTACCGAAGAAGCTTTCCGGATTCGTAGTCGCCACTGTCCTCTGTGCTGTTCGCTACTATTACTTCGCGATGATTCTGAGCCGGCGGCACCGGCTTCCGAAGGAACTTTCCGAACTCGTAACTGCCTTAAATTCCGTCGTAATCACGACGGGGACGCTGTCCGCCGTGCTGTTCGTCGCCATTGCTGCCCGATGCTCCTGCGGCGGCTACCGCCAGGTCGCGGCGAACAATAGGCGACCGCCGCGACACGGCCGGCTTGCTCGCTTCCTATGGCCGAAAAAAAAAAGAAACGGCGGGCAATATACGAGTGTTGTCACCTAGAAGAGCAGTTTCCACTTCTTCGGGGCTGATGTTGACACCTCCCTTGATGACCAGGTCTTTGATGCGGCCTTTTAACTCGAATGTTCCCTGGTCTGTCACCGCTCCCTGATCCCTGAAAAGACGAGAAAATAAAAACACGGACGCAGGCTTTAGCTTAGTTAGGCTAGGTGGAGCAAGCTGCCGCCCGTTTACCATCCATCCATCCATCCATCCATCCGAACAAAGCCGCTGTCACACATCCCATACATCCTACAAATGACAGTTTCTGCGCACACCGTCTGAAGCGTGTATCGTTTTTTCTTATGGTCCTGTTCAGAGATAGCACTAATGACACTACTGTAATTAAATTACAGTAATTAAATTACTTTTGTGGTAATGACTGATGTAATGAATTACTTTTCTGGGCTGGTAATTTAGTAATGTAATGCATTACTTCCGTGCAGTAATTTCGAGAAAATTACTCATTACTTTTGAAATTACTTTTGTCCCAAAATAGAAAGTTGGTTTGCGAGTTTAAAGAAAGGAATAATTATATTGCATGGTGAAACGTCGTTCATCCCTAAGCTGAGCGTGCGGTGTGAGCTACGAGCTCATTAGAACCAATCAACCGCCTTCCTTTGGTCCCCTGACCCGTCCCCGTCCCTGTCTTTGCGCGTGGGTATGAACGAGTGTCATTACGGGGCGAAAGATAGACTTGTGACTGTTCCATCGAGCACGTAGGTTCCACCGCACTGTCAACTTAGCGGTGAACGGCTTACTACAAGGCGAAGGGCACATCACCAGTGAGGTCAACACACTTTAAAACCTGAGAGGACAGGACTAACAGATGTCCAGCCTTCTCGCTCTTTCGTCAAGGAAGGTCAATTCGTAAGCTTCTACCATTGTCAACAACGAACAACCTGAATAAATTGTTCATTCCAAATGCCTCGTCAAGGCCCCAGAATATTTCGTGCGCATCCTTGGCTTTGTTAAAGTAAAGGTGATTTTTGTAGTAGGAAAAGAAAGGAATCGAGCAAAGCAGGTTTCGCTCGCGGTATGCCTCGCTGCCTTTCCTTAGGAAGTTTATTCGGGAATAAGATGCGAGCACATATCGCCACCCGTTCGTTGGGAAAGTACACATTTTAGTAACCTCGCACCAACCCTTCCCTAAACTGGCGACACTTCTACCTAGCAAATATCCAGACCCCTTGTGTGACAACGCGAAATAATTTTGGCTCTTCGGGTGTTTGGGAGCAATATTCCTTGAAAGGAATGAACGGGAATACGTCAGCTGCAGCTCTTGGGATAAAAGGGATTGCACCCCTGGCGGGAGGAAAACGTTTCACGTGACGACTCCTTGTAAGAACGAGCTCCAATGGCCCGACTTAACATTCTGACACGAACTATAACTCGACCTTCACCGTTGAGTGAACACCGAAACCGGTGAGTCGACTGTCTTTGAGTCACATTTAAAGAAGAAGCTATTCATCATGTTTGACACTTATCTCGTGTGCGCCAGCAAAACGATTCTTCAGTATTGTTAACTTTGAGGAGGAAGATCTGAGTTTTGGTACATGTACTGCAAATAAAATGAGCACGAATTACTGTCTCGAGGCATTGAAAAGTAATTTCATTACTTTTAAAAAGTAATTACAATGAAATGTCATTACTTTTAGTCTGCGGTAATTTGTAATGTAATCTAATTAAGTATTTGCAGTTTTCATAAAAGTAATTAGTAATGTAATTCAAATACTTTTTTAAAAGTAATTCTGCCATCTCTGGTCCTGTCACATGGGTCTCACCCCGTGGGCAGCCAGCCGTCGTCATAGACTCCGGTCACGCTGTGCTTCCAGTATCCCGCGAAGACGCTTGGAGCTCTCACTTGGACCTCGCCGACCTCACCCACGGGAAGCACTGACCCAGCGGCATCCACGATGCGGATTTCGGTGTGCGGCGCCGGGTGGTACCCTCTCTTGTCCCGGTAGCCGAAGGCCACAGGGCCGGCGGTTTCTGTAAGTCCGTAGGCAGTCTGCGAACAAATCGGTCAGGAATTACAGGGGACTGAGTCCACGAGAAACGATGTACCAGAAACCATGAACGAAAGTAATTATGAACGTAATTATGAACGCAGCCATGGTTACCGGTAATTCGTTCATGATCACCTGTATTCTCTTCACGCATTCAGCACATTACGTGGTTACTGATAATCCGTACATGATTCCTTTCGGTCATAGTTACCGATAAATCGTTTATGGATATGGGTAATCCATTCATGCGTATTCATAAGCTGTTCATTTTCGTTCATTGTTACCGGCAACTCGTTCATTGTTACTGGAAATCTGTTCATGTTTATTTGTATTCAAGCCGTCGACTCATCCCCTAAATCATTCGGTTAGCCTCATAAAGCCACCTATCAATGTTAAAAACTGTCCGCGGACACTTATGATGGTGCATATTTCCAAATGCATCCTCTCACTGACTGCTCTTAGTTTACCCAGTCCTGCCTTTATCTGTTTTCCCAGGATCTGGCTCCTCCCGTTCAACACGTTGTTCAGCCCTGCGTGAATCAACACTAGGTTTTCACCCTCCATGTTGTCCTACAATACCTCCTTCGCTTTGACAATGACATCTACCATGTACTTTCCTGGCTGCCTTTACTTGCACCCTTTTGTCCTCTTTCACCTTGCCTAGCACTCCCACTACGATCCTTGACACGTTGGAGTCTCCTCCTATTAGAACTTTCCTAACTGCCGACGGCTGCCCTCCTTCTCCTGGCACTAGCTTGCTACCCCCTCCATATACCACCGGTACCAGGTTAGTCGACACTTCTGACCTTATCCTCACAGTCGATTCCCTTTTCATCTCTTCCCACTGCGCTTTTAGGTAGACTCTCTTCTCGACCTCTACTCTGAGAATACCCTGCAATTCTGCCATCATTGTTTGTCCTTTTTCGTTCTTCCCGTACAGCTGATCATCAGTGTTGCCATCTCTCAGAAACTTTCGGTTTTGCCGTAGACACCCGAAATCAAACTTTGAGCCGTGATATCAATAAAACTACTTACCTTATCGAGAAAAAAAAATTATACTTTGTAATTGACTCATTGACTCACTCACTGACTCACTGCCCTAGTTAAAAACAATCGAAATCGAAAATTCAAAAACAGTGACCAGAGTTGCCTTTTAATGTGATGTCGCAGAAATCGTTCTGGCACCTTCGGACGAGCAGTGTTTAGTATTCAAGTCGATTTGTAGTATTCGCGAGAGATATGAATTATTAAGAAAAATATATGTCATGGCTTTGGTTCGTAGCCTGACTCACCATCAGATTGTCTATCTTCAGCTTCTCTGCGATCATCTCAAGCGCCGATGTCTGGATGCTGGTAGCACCGACGATGCCTGAGTTCCCAAACATTGCACACGTGAGAAAATATCTACCAGTACGTTTTCACTCCGCTATGGCTCTATTGCTTCAAGTGGGCTGTCGTCTAGTTCTCATTTGGCATGCGTATTTATTAAAGTATCCTAGCTTTTACAACATTCCTCAGTCGCTGTGATAAATGTAAGGCACGAAAGATAAGTTCAAGTGAAATTTTTGAAAAGGTACCGCAAATTACATTTAAATATGTTTCAGTTAAACGTTTCTGAACGTCTGGTCGCTTGATCCTGAGGTTTGTGCATCCGTAGACGTGACATTTTGTAACAGTGACACTTGAATAGTGTGTGGAAACTTTCGCCGGTAAGAGTAAAATTCAGGCGTCCCATTCGATTTTTTCATGTTATAGCTTAACCAAAATGTTGTGATGTAGCGGGTTTATTATGCAATGCGCCCTTTGGGGCCCTTGAGGGTTAATAAACAAAAATACTAGAATAATCTTAGGCTAACGCGCAATAAAAAAACAAGCTCTGAAGGCTCACCTTTGTGACGCCAAAGTGTATCGTAGACGACTTTATTTTCGTAGGCTGGATATTTAGCGAATTCTACGCAATGTTAGTTTCATGACTATTTTGTGGGGACACAATTTATCAATTCAACATGGTCTGCAATTATTCCTTACCACAGTGTAACAGAACCATATGACCTACTTTTCGAGTCGCGAAATTAGCGCTACTTCAACCCGATGTTACGCAACACTGAAAACTAGGGGCTCTCAGTCATTGCGGTAGTCAGATAGCCCAGCGTGTTTTCTTACCCTTTTAGTTGGGTATGGTTTCCGACAACGTAAGAAACACAGGGCGTGGTTTATTCGATGTTCAAGGTTCTTGCTTCCTGGTTTGTTCCTGCGCCTTCTTATACCGGCTAATCTCGCAAACTGATCGGCTGGGCAGCGATAATAAGATGCTTTGCTCATGCCACTTCTTGCGTTTATCAAATTGTCAGTATCCATAATCCACCCCATCGCAGCTACAGCTCAAACGGTTTAGGCAAAATCCCACCTTCGCACAAGCTCGATATGTCGTACTTGTCGAATTCCCGGCATTGTATCAGGTCGTAATATGTTGTAGGCGTTCCTTGTATGGCTGTACACCTGTGAATGATAGCACCCACGTGTGAACGACATTGCTTCGAAAAAAGAGTGAAAAGATCCTCTCTTTTGAATTTCACTCTGAATGTGTTCAAGCGGAATTCTGATACCGATAACGCCAGTATATACACGAATGGCGCAGAACCAATTAAGCTTTAATGAACTTCGTTCAAGCTGAACTCGAGAGAGCGATCGTAAGTGCTGGAAGTAAATCGAATGTTTCGCAGCATTTGCGAGACAGATCTGCACACTATTTGCGAGAAGTAGTCGCTTATAACATCTTCGGAATTATTTCAAGCACACGGTGAAAATATAATGCATGCAGCGCACGTAGATCGGAAGTGCCCCGGGGCTTCCCAATAGACGGCGCCAGTGTGTGTCGTAAACGGTCCCAAGCGGATGCAACGCAGTCAATTACACTTAAAGGGGGCCTGCAATCCTATTTAATCCTCTACCTTTTTTAGGGTTTCCACATCTCTTGAGATTCGTGCAAGCCAGCGGGCACGGAGAGAGTAACTAAATATCAGTGCGTCATATTTGAACCGCACAACGCGGAAGCCTCCTCCACCGACGGGGTAGACCCGCGGTACCGAAAGCGCGCGATATTTGACGTCTTTGGTCCTGGGCTTACTACTGGTCAGAGCCGCTAAAAGCTTCTTTTTAGTCGAAATACAAAATATAAGTGGCGCGAACCGTTTCAGTCATTTATGAAAGCAGTTTTTGTTCAGTATTTGAGATCATAAAAGAAACAAATGCAGTTTAGAAAGTACGAAAACAAGAAATGGCACGTCGGCATACTCGCCACCAAGCGGTGGAAAAGGTGGCGCATACTAGAAAGGGGTAGTGGGATCAGGCGCCGACCCGCGCCACGCATTGCTGTGAAGCGGCGAGCGTAGAAAGGTCCCCGTATGTACGCGGCGGCGCTGCGGTCGTATGGGTTGGAGGATCCGACCGGTTCCGAGCGTTGCGAAGGCCTCCGGCGAGCAAGTTTGGCCGTTTGGCGGTTTGTCAGCGCGAAGTGGCTCCCGTTCTGGGCTGATCTTACCCCGTGTTTGCTGTCGTTTGTGGCCAATGATGTTTCATGCCTAATTAGTGTTTAGTCGCGCAGCAAATGCAATGCGAATCGCCCTGGCCGCCCGCTTCATCTGGCTTATCCAGCACATGCTTTAGTGGCGCCCTCTCGAGCCGTCAACACGGAGTGCGGCAGCCGTGAGCGCTCGCTGAGCTCACTACCCCTCTTCTAGTTTACGGCCACCCATGCCAGGACAAGGGACGTCATGAAGGAGGTTATTTCTTGCCTGTCTTTGTAACTTTATTGGCCTATAACTTTTAAAATAACGCGAAATTCGTGAACAGAAAAGTTTCACAAAGTTACTACGTTCAGTGCGCTCGGGTTCGCTGCAAATTAAAAACCACTCAAAAAGTTGTTGCAGGGCCTTTTGAAGCGTAGATGTGTGAATCATCCTATACTCATAATTACCTAACAACCGGAGTAAAGAAAAAAAGTGGCTTTTTACGGATTATAAGCGATGTACTCCTTCGTGTGATATATGTGGGCGGATTTCAGATTAGCTTACCACTGTTTTATCAAGGCGTACACATTTCAAACGCCAAAAGCACAGAATCTTCCTATGACAGCCAAATCTTTCAAGAACTACTTCGTTTAACGCATGTAAATACGGCAAGGAATAAATTTCATCCGGCTTATAGGGCGACAAGATGGCGTCACTAAAACACGTATTCGTAACTACAATGGAGGGCGACACCCAGCGGAAAAGACGCGAAGGAGGGAAGCGGGGAGCTACACTCTAAAAAAAGCCCGTGCGTCCACTTTCCCGCAAAACACTCGGAGAGCCAATCACCGCAACTTACGGAGGCAGCTCAGCGAATGACGATGCCGAAATATATGTTTAGACCAAAAAACGCAGACTGAGTTGTGACATTAAGCAATGCAAGCGTGACGTTATGCATTGCTTAATGTCACCACTCAGACTGCGTTTTTTGGTCTAAACATATGTTTCGGCATGGTCATTCGCTGAGCTGCCTCCGTAAGTTACGGTGATTGGCTCTCCGAGTGTTGTGCAGGATAATGGACGCACGGGCTTTTTTTAGAGTGTACCGTCTAGTGCGCAGCGACAACCAGCGCGGCCTGCCGGCCGAAATGTGAAACTGAGGAAAAGGGATGTAACGCACGCCGTTACATCCCTGTTAACGTTACTTAACCCGAAGGTCTAAATATAGAATTAGAACAGTCGGTAACGCTATCGCGTGTTTATACTAGTTTCCGTCGTGGCCAGTTGTCCCGAATTCATGTTGCTGATAAGTCCCCTTGTCTGAAAGGAGACAAGTAGCCTCTCATGCTAATCTATGCATTATCTTGCATTATGGTAATACTAGTGCCTCTAAATAAGCTCCGCTTCAGAGCAACGACCCTTGGCCGCATTGCAGCTTAATATCATGGTTGCCAGTTATCTGAAGCTTATCTGAAATCACAGGAAACGCTTTTCCGCCTTCCACATATGCTTAAACAGTTCGCGCCAAAGCAAAGCAATATTACATGAGCTCCGAAACATCGAATCGAATTATGAGGAAGTCGCACTTTTGAATCATGACGATCGGCAGTTGCGTCTGCTCTGCATACGAACCAAAATGGCGGTGTCCACAACGATGTGGGGGACAGAGGCATTGTTTGTCACGATCCGAAATCGAATGCCTATGCAGTCTTGGTGTCCACTCTATGAGTAGCGCTTAAATATCGTAACAGCTGGGATCGCAAAGCTGGATGACGCACTCCCAACTATCTCCTTGTTGGCATTGTCCCCCCACCTCCGCCATAAAATTTTGCGAAAGAGAGACTGAAAGAAAAGGTTCCCTTTTATCCTTGGAATTCCACCGCGACGAAGACGCTTTTTGGTAAGTGACGTTGCGTTCGAGTATTCTTGGATTCCACTAGAGCCAGTAAGCTGGTGTACAGCGAGAAACGTTCCAGCGCAACATCGTTGCACAGCCATCTTTCCAGCGCTTATACCCACGCTAAAAATGCCGAGCCACTTGGTTAGAAACAACGACATATAAAGCACAGATGTCAGAGCAAAGACCCCGACCTGTATCTCTGTATGGCCTCCAGCGTCTGAGCGTGAGGGGCGCCCTGCGGTAGGTACACGGTCGGCACGCCCGCCACAACGCCGAAGGTGGAGAGGTCGATGTGGCCGAAGGTGTGGAACAGCGGCATCACTGCACACATCAGCGTCCTCTGGAAGCCGTCGAAGTCGATCGTGTCAGTCGGTTGTGGTGTTCAGCCCTCATTTCATGTCTCTATACAGCCGAGGTCCCGCGCAACCAACGGCCAGCGGTCCGTATCTGCCTCGCAATGCGGTTTTAAGCGCGAAACACATGTACGACGAAACCGTCCGATCTGACGTCCCACCGCGCAATACGACGGTCGGAGGCGAGGGTTTTCAACGCTCTCCGATGCTACGAAAACCCTCTCCCCCCAAGGTCATTCCGGCAGTCCGCACGTCGGATCGGAAGGTTTCGTCGTACATGTGTTTCGCGCTTTAGTCCAGCGCAGTTGTCTCAGGAAACATAGAAATACAAGTTGCTTCCTCGCTGCGAATATTTTTAAATATTTTGACGACCAGCAACTTACTTCCAATAGACTTTTTTCATGGCAAACGCGACCAGGCGGTGCTCCAGTCTTTGAGGTCTCAGAGAACTTCCGGTTTATGATATAAATGCCCCTTCCCCCGCCCCCCCCCCCCCCTCAACAAAAAAAAAAGTGAATTTGTTAAAAAAAATGTTAATATTCTTCTAAACCCACTTGCCCCCTCCAAGATCTTAAAATGTACAGCCAAAGGCCCTCGTTAAATCTTCAACCTTGTTGTCCGTATAGCATGTATGCTTTCTAGCACCGGTGACATAAGCAAGCTCGACAGGCTTTCAGAGATGGAGCGATCAAAAGTCGCTTAGGACGCAAGCGGCAGTTGATTATTGTAAATAGAAAAAAATGTCTAAATATATTAATCTGTTCGCCACCAACTCGTAAAACGCGGAGCGAAAGCTCGCTCTGAAGAACACAGAGATCATGGGTTCGATTCCCTCCCCTGCCCGTTTCGATCTGGATGAGCAACGTACTGGTGTGTGGTCGTGTAGAACTACTACGTGGTACACGTTAAAAACCCTAGGCTAGAGGTTGTACTGAATTTTTCATCTACAGCTGAGACTCCAGGCGCCCATTGAGGCTGACTAAATTAGTTAATATTCGGTTATTACTTCGCTAATTGCCAGTTTCTAGTATTTTCCACAGTGAATAAGCCTATCCCCAGGAATAACCTTTTTTTATTTCCAGTGTTCTTTTCTTTTCCATCTCCGAGATACCACCCGTATCAAGCCATCAGTTTTAATGTAAGATAATATAAAAATAACAAAAACAAATTTCCCGTATCTTAAATATTACCTCAGATGAGAATCCTGACATTGCTTTCAGCATCTGAATGGCGTTGAGGACGTTGAAGTGACTCAGCGGTATCAGCTTCGGAGGTCCCGTAGAACCCTGCGAAAATACATCGCAAGGATTATTCATTTGTTTTCCATAAATTTCATTAATTCCCCACTGTGTGCTCGTGCTACTGGTCATATGTGCTTGTTCTTCGACCAGACAGCAAAGAACTGAAATGATATGAGCCCTGACACGGTGCTTCACTAAATCAGTTCAGCTGCAGAACTGCGCACCGCCCCCCCCCCCCCCCCCCCCTCTCCCCCTAAAAATCCGCCTCCTGTCGTTCAACGCGCCACCGTTTCTTGGGGGGACAGTTGCTATGGTAGCTACCAGTTTACAGGCCTTGAAGCACAGCCTCTAGTAGATGGCGCTGCACCGTTGCGTGTCCGATGAATAGAGTTTTGAAATTAAGTCTCTAGATGGCGCTTCAAGCGATAGGTAGCGGACCTGAGGGGGAGGGAAGAAGTAGCCCTTTCCGTGGGAGTTCCGCAACTGAGTTGATTTATTCACATTACCTCCAACCCTACCTACCCATTACAAAACAGCCATCGTACAGGTCATCTTCCAGTATGTCTTCACGTATTACCCTTTCTATGGAAACTCTAAGGCATACAAAATAGAAAACAAAAAACGTAAAGGGATAAAGCATACCGATGATTGCAGCATGGTAACCGTTGAGTAGGGGTCTTCCTCGCCTCTGCTATAAGATCTTGAAGGGCCGTCCCCAATTCTGAGGACCTCTTCAAATTCCAAGAAGCCCCTGTCACAAGCAATCTTATCATGCACATCTTCGGTCCGATCCCCAGCAGAAGTTTATATAGCATGATTCACGACACGAATGAATAAGCATTCATAAGAGAAAACCCGGGTGCCTGTCAGAATGGCAACGAAAATAATTTCTCACTAAAAAGCTAACACGCAATAACTCATAAGTTGTCGCTGTATTTATGGCTATTGAAATCTGCGTGATATATTCTTGTGCGAAACATTATTTCACGTGCTATCACGTGACTGCCTGACCGTATACTCCCTAGGCAATCTGCAGCTGCTCAGTGGCTGCTTACCGCCAAGCAGCAGTTTCTAGATTTGTTGTTGTTGTTGTTGTTGTTGTCGTTCCGGAAAATTAAGATGATTGTTCATCTCAAATGGGAAATTTCTTGGGATACGGTCCATTCGTCACATGCACACTCGTCACAGGACGATTGGTCACAGGACGATTCGTCACACAGGAACATTCGTCATAGGATGACTCGTCACGCGGCCAACCGGTCCCACAATGGTTCGTCCCCCCAGAAATGTATTCCTCAATTTGGTTCGGGCGGACAAAGCGGCTCACCTCATATCTTAGTATGTGTTTGGCTTCTGAAAGGCGAAGAATTTGTAACAAACGTTTCAGCTTCTGGTTCGGTCCCGAACATTGAATGTTGGTTCGGCCTCACAAAGTGGGTCACCTCTTATCTTAGCATGTCTTTCGCTTCTCAAGGTCAAAGAATTTGTAACAGACGTTTTAGCTTCTGGGTCCGTCCCGAACGGTGAATGCGGAGGCCATATAAGAGCGACTATTTTTAGAGCGCAGCTCTTAGGGGCCCGTTTCCGGCTTGAGCGGCGTCGGCGTCGCCGTCGCCGTTGGCGTCGCCGTCGGCGTAATCGCGCGGTGCATCATGGGAAATGTCCCATAATGCACCGCGCGAGCCCCCCACCGGGGTCACGTGACCTCGTGGGGGGGGACACGTGACCCCCCCGAGGTCACGTGACCCCGGTGCATCATGGGAAATGTCCCATAATGCACCGCGCGAGCCCCCCACCGGGGTCACGTGACCTCGTGGGGGGCACGTGACCCCCCCGAGGTCACGTGACCCCCAAAGTCACGTGACTCCCCTGAGGTCACGTGACCCCCGCCGATGTCGCGTGACCCCCAATGACGTCATCGTCACTGATGACGTCACCGGCATCCACATCGTCATCGTCATCATCACTGATGACGTCATCATCACTGATGACGTCACCGGCATCCACATCGTCATCGTCATCATCACTGATGACGTCACCGGCATCCACATCGTCATCGTCATCATCACTGATGACGTCACCGGCATCCGCATCGTCATCGTCATCATCACTGATGACGTTACCGACATCCGCATCGTCATCGTCATCATCACTGATGACGTCATCAGTGACGTCACTGATGTCGTCACCGGCATCCACATCGTCATCGTCATCGTCATTGACGACGTCACCGGCATCCGCATCGTCATCGTCATCATCACTGATGACGTCACCGGCATCCGTATCATCATCGTCATCATCACTGATGACGTTACCGACATCCGCATCGTCATCATCACTGATGACGTCATCAGCGACGTCACTGATGACGTCACCGACATTCGCATCGTCATCGTCATCATCACTGGTGAAGTCATCAGTGACGTCACTAATGACGTCATCGATACCCGCATCGTGATCGTCAATGATGATGTCATCAGTGACCTCAGTGATGACATCATCGGCATTGGGGGTCACGTGACCCTCAAGGTCATGTGACCCCCCCCCCCTTGGTTAGTTTAACCCCCCCCCCCCCAATGCCCTTCCCTCCTCCTCCTCAAGAGCTGCGCTCTAATTCGGCGTTACAGGGAGTTGTAAGCAGCTTTCACTTTTTAACTCTGACTACATTCAAAAGGATGGAGGTGATCGCAACAGAGAGAAGTAGAGCCATGATGCTGCACGAGGGGTACTCGTGCACATGCAGCAGAAATAATTCCGATACGTATTGGTTTTCTCGAAGAGGGGTATGCAAGACAAAGCTAAAAACTGATTTGGCTGCCAGTCGGATTATTGCTCGTTCAAGCCAGCAACTGAGATGAACCTGCCGAAGACTCGTAATATGGTGAAAGGAAAAGCGGAGGAGTATTGTAAGATTAGTTTTCCTAACCATTGGTTTATGTGACAGTGGGAAGTCGTGAGACTCCTCATCAGCGAATGTGGGCAGTTGTTGAAATTTACAATTTACTATCGTCCCCTGCCCGATCGATGTGACCAGTTGCCCGCATGACGAGTCATCCTGTGACGAAAGTTCCTATGTGACGAATCGTCCTGTGACCAATCGTCCTGTGACGAGTGCGCATGTGACGAATCGTCCTCATCCCAAATTTCTTGTGTGAAGATAGGCAATGTCTCTAATGCAGTGTCCCTGTCGATCTGGGCTCTTAAACACGGGTCACGCATCAGTGATTACAGAGTGTTACAATGACCATCCCTCGCGAAACCGGCCAATCTCTCCCAAATAGAACATAAATAATCTCTTTTCCTCTCCCGGCCGGTGTGAATATTAAACCCATAACCTCTGGCACTTAACCGTCAGGCAATTCGTTTCGTTTCGTACACTTGCCCAGCATTGCCCGGGGTCAATGAGATTAGGTACTTCAGGTCTTGGATACCTGTAACAAAAACAAAAGAAGAAAAAATATAAGACCTTTCCCGCTATTTTACGCAGCTCAGACGATACTCGTTAAACACTTTTTCCTGCAACAAGAGATTGGACAAACTCAGGGAGATCCAGGGGAGGCTTCTTGTTGGCCACCAACTCCCGAGCCCATTGAGCGTGATCGGTCTTTTTGAATCCGTTGCCTACAATGAGGGCGCTGCAGGCCGCCTGGGAGAAATAAGGCGAGCGTACCCATTAGATGCCTCAGATCAACATCACCCAGAATGATCAAAGCCCGTGCACAAGCATTCTGAGGCCATCACAGTAAGATATCGAGCGAATACAAAGCCCGGGAACGAGCGCTGCCTCAGTGTTCGGCTGGGCCGGGTGTTGGGCTCCGGCCCAATTGCTAAGTTGGAACTTTCAGAGTGTGACAACGTCACACGGAGGTAGAGGCGGCTGTCCAAAGGCTTTGATTATTCTAGGTGGTGCTGCCAACGGTGTACTTACTCTCTTGAGCACAGAACTGAGTTCTTTGGGATGGCATTTGTCATTGATGGAAACCTGTGAGGACAATTGTGCAGGTTGTACTCTTGTTCCTCGCCCACAAACAACTACAGGGTCAAACCACCATTTTTAAAAATTGCCAGTTCAGGGCGTTTAGGTGTAAAAATGCGTGAGCGTGGGTTTTAAATGAGGTGCAGTTGCGTAGTAACGGGGGAGTGGGGGGGGGGGGGGGGGGGGGGGGGGGGGGCGGGAGGCCTTGGGCCCCGAGTACCAGGCGTCCCAGACACGGGGGGGGGGGGGGGGGAGGGAGGGGGGCACCTCTGGAGGCATCCGCCCTTCCCCCCCTTCCCGCTTTACTAGTTGCAATCTCAGGGAGTGAATGGGCGGGGGGGGGGGGGGGGGGGGGGAAGAGGAGGGGGGCGGCTACGCAAGATCTAGGTCCCGGGTGCAGGATAGCCTAGCTGGGCCAATGGCTAAACTAAAAAGCAAGATCCCGCTGGCTCCACCCAACATCCTTTGTATGCCTTTTGTGGCCTATCTTTTGCCACAGAGTTCCTTCAAAGAAGCTTGTCGCTCCTTACTAATTGCGCACAACGTATCATCCTGAGAAACATCGAACCGAGTTTCGCGCTTCGATCTCACAAATCACAATTCAAGAAGCCTCGTAATGAGGGAACAAAAGCTCAGAATGTCAAAACACTGTGAAATACTGTAAAAATGGGAAGCATACTGGCAGAAAACGTGATGACTCTAGGACTTCGTAGAGCAGAACAAACTCACCAGGACAAGACCCGCCTTCGCCACGGCAAACTGGGACACAATCCACCTATGGCACGTGGGTGACAAGAGGCCAATCCTGCATCCGGGTTCCAAGTCAAGGGATCTCAAACCCTGCGCTAGCCGCTCAACCTGCAAGTCATTTGCCGGCTTGAAATGAGGCGTGGGCCATTGCCGATCGAGATATCCCTCTCACTAAGCAGACAAGTTTTTTTTCTTTTCTTGTCCATACAAGTGAAACACGCGGAGATGACCACTGTGTCATCAAAGTAGAGCAGGGGTGGCGAGACGGACATATGTAAGAAGCCATAACAGCCATTTTAATTGAAAAGCCGCAGTAAAAAAGGGGCAATGTACATTTTTTATTACTCCTCCCAGTTGGCAGCCACAGCGAATTACACTTATAAAGCTATTAATCATTGTGTTTATTCATTTATTGTGCGTCCCCATTTCTAAGAAAAAAAAGAAGGAAAACACTTTGATGTTTGACTGAAATGACGCAGTCCTGAGCAGCTCAGTTTGGCGTTTGCCCGTCACACACGCTGTCCTAATTTTACCGCCTTCACTGTTAAAAAAAGGTCCCCTCAGTACTAAGCTAACCCCGAACATCGACCGAAATATGTTGCCCGCAAGCCTGGCGTGGGAACACCTTTTTTCTAGCACCAGTCACCAAAATCACTGTTTCCCCGAACCGCAGAATTTTCTTCTATCCTTCGTCTTCTTGAAGTTCAACTTCAAACGCTTTTAAATATTGTGCAACGGCTTTCATGACTGGACAGCCATGAAGCACAATGTCCGAAAGCACAATCGGGCTTTTATTGTATTACATAGAGCCGCGAGTCGCACTTGTACCCGCGAATAGCCGCCCACGGTTCACTTTCCCATGAAGATTGAAGATTTCAGAGAGGAGACTATCAAATAGATGTCATGGCGTCAATATTATCATAAATATTGTTAACCCCCAGCCTTCAAGCTCATTTTACGGTGAGGAAGTTTATTTCCATTGTCATTCACCGACGTTATCTTCTATATTGCGGCGATGTGCACTCTTCGCCTGATTTGCTGTTACGCATGCGGGGAGACTATTTTAAGGGGCGGTTCACACATGCATCTCGCCGCTGAGAAAACGCAAAGTTAGCGCTGCATCAGCGCTACTGTGGGTGCTGATTTAGCACTGACTTACCGCAGCATTGTGCGTGCGAACAAGATAATGCAAGGTCAGATGTATCAGGAGGCTAACACATCAATAATCTAGCGCAGAATCAGGGCTTTATCTGTAGCGTCGAGTTTTTAAAAGGCAATGAACGTATTTACTCGATTGCCATATGCAATACGATGACCGGTGTGAGTCAGCTCAAAATCGAAGTTAAACTACAGTTACCTTTCCCGAGGGCTCACCTGTTCTGCGAAGCTGGAGAACGTCAATGACAGGTCTTCGCCCGGGAAATGGAAGCCTACGCGGTTTCCGTCTTTCCTCACAGTCTCGTCCAGAGCTTGTCCTACGGTCATCCGAAACCTGAGGGAGGTTCCTTAGGTCCCACCAGGTAGCTGGAAGTACTCAGGGACCTCAAGGGACCCCTGAGGACAACGCTGAGTGTCCTCAGCCGCGGTAAGCATCTCTGACAGTAACTGGACAACCAATCTGGGAGCCCGTTTTGACGACTCGTATCTTATCGACAGCTATTGACCCCGTCGTAATTCCTATTCGGTTGTTTGCCGGCTCTGCGTATCTTGGGGCCTAGATACTAAGATAGTGCTTGTTCACGTAGCTTGCAATCTCTTTCTATCTCGGGAGCTGCGACTCAGGATTTGCATATCTGTCTGTGTTTCCGGGTGTTGTATTTGGTCATCAACTTAAACTCCAAGAAGGCTTTCGCTTCATCTTGGCTCCTTTCATCTAACGCCATTTTAGACTGTTGATCATTGAGTGCTCTTCAGAAACAAAGGTAGGAGAAGATGGTGGTGGGTCTTCTTTTGGGGGGTTGTTTTTCAGCTAGAAATTGGTTGCTTATAACCCTGCTTTAAAAGATAAGCTTATTCTTCCTCCTCCAGTATTTTCCCTTCCATTGACCGTGAATTCAGAGTCGGAATTTTTCACTGTCGCACAGCTGCCCGCATCGACTCTCATCCACAGAACGTCATCATCATCAACCGATTAATTTGAAATTTTGAAAAACATTAAGTTTTGTTAAACCTGAACCACTTGTGGTTTTGTTGCGTTTTTGCACTACGGTCTTGTTTAAAATCCTTTAGCCCGATTTTGGTTTCGCCCCTCTTCTCTGTAATTCCTCCGGGACCTGAGAGTATTGAAATAAATAAAATATCACTCTCTCTGAGAAAGACGCTTGGTGTACAGAAAATGCACTAAGATGGAAAAAAAAAAAAAAGAAAACAGAAAAAAAAAGGAACGGCGATATTGTTATAAAACAGAGTCGAAGAAGATAGTGTGTGGTTTTGTGAAAAACACTTGATATTTAACTCCGTAAGTGAAATTAGCGCGTCACTAGCCGCCTTAGTTATTCATTCTTTACTTATAGCTGTAATTGGAGTAATTTGGAATTCGTCACTCGATGCTGTTCGTTTATTGCCTTTCCGTGAATCTTTGCCTGCGATAATCACTATTTATAATGTTTAACTTTCTTACTTTTTTATTATTATTATTCTATATTGTTACTTTTTGTTTTATGTTTTGCAGAGTTGTTTTTTCCCCCGCTCCTACAATAGCCCTCTCGGGGCCGCTGAATTTCAAAATAAATACATAAATAAATAAACATTGATTTCAATCGCTCAGGCTGTCTTTTGAATGGAAATGTTCGAACCGTCCGAGGATTTAAAACTGTGCAACGGTCTTCGAAACGCTTTCCACTCACTATTCAACGCGCTGTCGACTGAGCAACTGAGCACTGCCGATTTGTCTGCCAGCTCGGTTTACAAGCCTTTTTTACTGACGAGACACAAACGCAAGAAATCAACGCTAACAAATATTCAAATGGAGGTAAAAAGTTTTAAAGCATCATATTTCCTCTAACGTGGTCATTCTATTAAAACACGCCCCCCCCCCCCCCCCCCCCAGAAAAAAAAAAAGTAACTATTTGAGTGTGTACTGCAGGTCTAGAACGAAGTGGAAGCTCCCCCCCCCCCCCCCCCCCCCCCCCCCCCCCCCACCTCATTCCACTTTAGTAGAGCGAACGCTGGAGAGGAAATGACCTCCTCTCCAACGTTCGCACCGCTGTAGTGCAAAGAAGTGGGACGATCTTCCACTTTATTCTTGACCTGTCACCGGCTATGTTTTAAATATTAGGTTCTCATGTGCGTACATTTGAGCGGAAATAGTATTATGCTTTCTTTTTGTAGTGTTCATGTGTTTTTTGCTTTTTTTTTTTTTAGAACTGATAAGTTCGTGACATTTGTGTAGTTACTTTTACTCATGTTTAGT